AAATATTGATAATTAGTTTTACACTTAGTTTTATAAGCTGTTCAACTTACTGTAATATTTCTGGCATCCTGTGATGTCACATATATAAAATAATGAAAAACCTAGAAGTTTGAACTGAAATAATTAATGAGCAAGTCACATAAGAGAACATCACAAAGACAGTTATTAAGATGTAATGGCCACTGCCTGGCTAGAAGTTCTCACATACTTTTGTTTTGTAAGAGACACAGAATAAAAATTATCCAGCCAACATTATGTGTCACATTGCCTGCCCTTACCCTTCAGAAGTGTGGCTAGGACACCAGCCATGGTAGACAAACATGTTTTCCTTACTTGGCCATAAAACAGCAGTTACCAGCTTTGGCAGGATATTAGAACCACCTTGGGGGCTTTCAAAATATTGGGAATTTAACATTTTTCTTAGGTGATTCTTATGTACAGCCAAGGTTGAGGCTCCTTCTGTGAGAGAAATGTATAAATAACGTCTCCATCTGTGCCTGTGGTTCCTCATTAAAGTCTCTTCTGTTTCACTCTGGGTCCCATGTCCCTCCCCACCACAACCTCTTTGCACCAAATTGGCACCTCCTCCTTCTATTCCCAGTCAGACCTTACCTATTCTGTCTTTTATTCTTTCAGGGTTATGCTCTCTGCAAATATACATACTTAGGCTGATAGCCATGCTTCCTAGAATGGTGCATACTGGAGATACTGCTCAACCCAGGTACACAACAAGTATTCCCAATACTTGAGGCAGTGTGTACATGAAATAGTACCTATCCAGAAATGGCACTGGGCTACAGAGGACAGAGGTGAAGAAGTTATTAAAGGTACCATGTTTCTCCTGACACAGAGAGCAAGACCTGATATGAATATCCTCTTGGCATTGCCCTCTCTGAGTCGATGTAGTCCAGTTACAGAGTTCTTTTTCCTACAGGGGCAGGCTGTAATCACACGGATATACTCCCTGCTTATCCCAATGAACCTAAGTGAAGGAAAGGATTTTTAGTTTACTTTTCTATACTAGTTTCATTTTTCCCTTCTTTCTGAACATTTTATAGCCAAGTATTTTAAAAAATATTCTTGAACCAATCTTAGGCCTAATCTTATTCTTTTTTCACTCAAAGTCATGATGACCCCTTAATGTAGATAATGGATGGATGCTTTAAAACTAGATACATGGGTCACTAAAAAGGCTTTCCAATAGTAAACTTTTTCCTTTAAGATCCTTTAAAAACTTTAAGAGACAGAGAACTGGAGTTTGATTTATTTTGAGAATCACTTCCAAAAGATTTGGAAACTTGTCTTTATGATTGAATTACTAGAAAGCATCTATTCAGTTGTGTCACTGTTCCTCTAAAGTTGAAGTCAGACTATGACTCTGATGATGACTGGGGCACTAAGTCTGAGGCTCAGTGAAGTGTTAAAAGGCAAAATCAGTAGTACTGCTTTTGTATATATGATAAATCAATCATCCTTTCCTCCAGACTCCAAGATTAATGAATGACTTCATGGTAGGGATTGCTGCTTATGTTATCACTAGGGAAACAAATACTTCTGGCTTCTCATTGCTGAATAGAATAGAAAGGCTCAATTTCTACTGGAACAGTAGAAAGGAGTTATCTCTTCAGGGAGTCATAGGGAGATAAGGTCAATTTGTTGAGACTTTAGTTTGCAAGCTTTATCTTCTCATGCCAATTAGCAGATAGAATATAATTTTGATAACTAAGGCTCAAAGTCATTTTCTCTATTATTGTCCAAGTTACTAGGAGCACTTTAATTATGTTCTAAGATAGAAGAAAGATAATAAAGATGAGAAGATGTACTCATTTTCCAAATATGATGAAGATGATGTGATGATCGTAGTGGTAGTGGTGGTGGTGACCGTGTGTGTGTGTGTGTGTGTTTATGTGTGTATGTCATTGCTAAGATCAGTGCAACAGAACAGAAATGTTCAAAGAGAAAAATCATATCCACTTAGATTTTTGTTATTGCTATCTCTTTGAATTATAAAAATAATTTTGATGCAGTAAAACCTCATTAATTTGAATCTACTAATCAGGAATTTGTGAGATAAAGTTGCCCTTACATTGAGAAAGGGCTTATAAAAACAATTTTGAAAGACACATTTAAACTATTAATACTTAAAAGAACCTTTTCAAGCATTTCAAAAGCACCTATGTACTTCCAATTGATGTGCTAATTTTACACATTTTATTTATTCCTTGAAACCAGAGTTTTAAGCACTTCTTCTGTGAAATGACCTTTTTGATATTTTCCCTGCGTGCTTTAAAATATTCTGTAGTTGTTATTTTTCACTGATTCATATAATCTTTCTCCAAAATTGTATTTTATTGCATATGAACCACACATGTAATTGAGTATAATTATCTAAGACACTGTGCCCTTATGATGTACAGTTTTATATAAGACATATATTACATATTCACACTTAATCTCTTTAAATGATATAGAATCTTAATTGTAAACTGGAAGCAATTTTGGTATTGACTGGAGACATTTTTGATTGTCACTACTGGCATCTAGTAGGTATAGGCAGAGATGTCACTGACATCCTACAATACACAGGACAATCCCTCACAACAAAGACTTTTCTGCTAATAGTACCACTGTTGAGAAACCCTGATGCAGAACCAGTTAAATCAATCTTATTGGGGGAATCAGAGATATTCAATTTTATGCTACTTTGGACTGAATTTCATTATAGTAGAAGCTATGTAAATTAACCTAGGGACTGTAACAAATTGATCAACATACAGAGGTGGTCAACATAAGGACCTAGGTCTACTGTACTGATACATACATGGGGTACATGCCTGGTTTATGAAGATTAATTCAATTTAAGGAGGTGGTCAATATAGGGAGATGGTCACTATGGAGGCTCTACTATATTTCTAAAATAAACAAATCAAATATTTCACTTCTTTAGGCTTTTTAAAATACAGAAATGATAAAGTGTTCTGAAAATCAGAAACTGAGTCCTTAAAACTGATAGTACAAATAGTACATTTCAATTTGGCTGCCAATATTTTCTAGAACCTGGACTCAAGATTAAAATTTTTACTATATAATTTTATAATTATATAAGTTATAGAGTCATATTATGCCTGTATTTCCAGCCCAGGTCTTGTTATCCTAAGGGTGTTCACAGGAATCTGGAAGGTTCATAGAGAGACTTTTAAAAAACAAATGAGGAGAATTCAAGGACCCTCAGAAATGCAGTCCTAGCATACATTTTCTGACTCTTTCAATCATCTTGCTTCCCCAAATTACTGAGAAGATTGTCAATAAATGCCACAAACAAAAATTTCAAAATAAATGAACAAAAATAAACTACTATTTTTGGCAATCAAAATAACCCAGTCCCTAGGAAAATGATGAATTCCTAAGAACACAAATGTAAATTCAGTAAGAACTTGATTAGTCAAAATTTAATAAGCCAAACCAAATCTTTCAAGAAAAGATTCTTTTTGAAGAAACAGCATATTACATGATGGGTCCTGAATATGTATATATGCTTTCCTATGACTTTTGACTTCCAGAATCTTGTTAAATAATAGTGTCTTTATATTGTTTTGCCTCTAGTGCTTCTTTGCTGAATTATGATAGATACTTTTTAGTCATGTTAAAGATATTATATTCCATTTTTAAAAAGAGTTTTTAATAAGGAGAAGGTGTTTGGCATCTATTGATATAATCCTGTGGCTTATATTACTTTACCTAATTAGGGACAAAATTATTGATTTTGTATTGTTAAACTTTATCTATTTTTCTTATCCAAAATGATGACTGAAGCCAAGATAATAGAAACAATACTACATTTTATAAAGATTTCCAACAGTAAGTATTGAACCAAAAAGTATTTTCTAATGAAAGCCCTTGTTAATAAGAAGTGTAAATTAGAATCCCTTTCCAAAAAGATTAACTGAGGTTTTACTGAATCACACTAAAAGAGAATGACCAGTTTGGTCTGTGAATGTCAGGCTGCAAAAGCACCTTTGGGTTGTAGACCCCACTGGGTTTGAACAGTAATATACTGTGTAACTGGCAGACAAGGATACAAATGGAATTTAAAAATATATAGCTTTAGAAACTGAAATTGGGGTATGTGAAATTTCACTTTGTGAAATTGGTTCTCACAGCTAACTTCCTGTAGTTTCTCCAAACCTATCATCAACTCCCCTGCAGAGTACAGCCAGGCTGAAAAAATGCTTTGATATTATCCAACCCTGCATAATTTGTGCTAAAAATAGCAACCCATTCTGAAAGGTGATAGAAATGGAAATAATTGTGTTAGGAATAATTTACTATACTGGGGAAAATGAATAATGTAAAATATTATGGGGAAAGAAGAATGTTAATCAGACTCTTGCCATAGAATTCAATAATGTCCTAGAATAATTAAAGTTACCGATGAGAAGAAAGCTCTGTCTTATTTTTTTTTTTACCTTCTCAGTAGGGTATGGCAAATATATTTGAAATGCACTGATCAATCTTCTAATGCAGATTTTTAAAATTGTCAGGTGTGGCCCAATTTATAGAAATAGTTTACCATAATTCCTTTTCTCTTTTCTCACAACATGCTCTTTTTTTTCTTTTCCTCTTAAGATGTTAATTTATCATGCAAAGATTTTTTTTTTCATTTAAGTGCATTAATGCTTTTGTTTGTACAGGAATTTTCAAATCAAAAGAACTCCCCATAGTTCCTAAATGTAAATCCTTAGCAAATGACATGCCAAGATGGTAGCTCCATTCCACGTGGGAAAAGACAAATTCAGACGTATCTTGGGATTTTAACCAGGGCTCCAGCCTTTGGGTTGTACTGTGTCTCTGACACATCTCCTTTATAATAACTTCAGATTGACTGTAATGGAACATTTTGTAGAAGAAACTGGCTTCTAGCAGTTGAATAGTGATGCTGGGAATAAATTTGGTTTCCCTGAATAATGGTTTCTCAAAGCAGTCACAGCTTCCTTAGAAGTTTAGAATTGGTACCATTTCTTATCCTTGTATTTCAGCATTAACTGCAAAGGAAAAAACAGTCACCATAAAATGGTTAAAAAAAATCTTTAGAAGTGCTATTTAAATCAAGCCCATATTGAACTAATGCATATCTAACTAAACCTCAAAACTTAAAATAAAATTGCACGTCTTCTTTTATTTTGTGAAGTAAAAGAGAAATATTTTTTTAAAAAGTGAATACACACTAGTACTCTGGGATGCCGAGGCAGGTGGATTGCCTGAGCTCAGGAGTTTGAGACCAGCCTGAGCCAGAGCAAGACCAAAACAAACAAACAAACAAGACGGGTGCTTGTAGTCCCAGCTACTTGGGAGGCTGAGGCAAGAGGATTGTTTGAAAGTAATAGTTTGAAGTTGCTGTGAACTATGACACCAGGCACTCTACTGAGAGTAAAGAAGTGAGATTCTATGTCAATAAAAACAAAAAATGAATATCCAATCAAGCTATAAATACTCAGCTTACAGGAAAAGACTTTTAATGACTGAGACAAATCATGAGTGTGGATCCCAGTCTCTACTGCCCTGCACACTTTCTTGGGGGGGACTCACATCATTTATCTAAACATCTTTTAAGCAGTGGATACACAATACAGACTGAATGTAGCACAACCAATGAATAATTTTTAAATTATCCCTTAGATTATGAAGTATCAATATATTGTAGTATTTGTTGAAAAACTTTTGATCTCCCCAATATTGGGGGAATAATAATACTTAGAAGAGATTCAAATTACCCTGAATCCCACACAGCACTACTCATGTGGCATTTCTGTTTAAACTTTCTTGTGCAGGAGCTACATGTTTAAAGCTCTTACTGCATAAAGATGCTTGTATTTACTTAGGCAGTTTACCTCATGTGCATGTTTGGAAAATGCTTCTGCACTGGTCATCATGCCTGCAGTTTTCTCTTCCAGCTCTCCTAGCCTCTGTCCTCTCTCATCAAGTGCAATCCGTGCTCGAGTCAGCTCTCCCATCACGCCTCCAGCAGCACCTTTCATCCCTTCTATGCTACCTGGTCCTGGAATGTGTTGAGCAAGGCTCCGGGACGCTCTTCCTGCTGAAGCTTCCCCAACTAGGAATTCAAGTCGCACCAATTTAAAACATTTTGTCAGTAATGCCATTTGTCACTAAGACAAAGTACTTATATTATATTGTCATAACACTTATAAAAAGACATATTTGGTCCTATCATCTATATGTGTTTGGAAATGTTAGCACTTACCCATGAAAAAAAGCCTAAGAGAAGATGAGAAAGATTTAGAGATTTTATGTGTGTGCATGCATTTGTGCGTTACATACAAAATGATATATTTGCATTTCTTGACATGGCTGATTTGAAATACTCAAAACATATGGGACCTTATGTTTAACTCAAATTAGTGTTTGTTCCAATCTTAGGCTTGATCATTTGCTTAAATTTCTGCCCGGGTTTTTATCCTAATCATCTTCATTCATTTTGTTAGATCAGCTTTTGTAGGCCTCAGGATTTTTTTTTTTCTCTCCACCTCCCACCCACATAAATACTAGAGAATGGGGTATACAAATATATGATTGAGGGACACTAAAATACATGTTAAAATTTCGTGACTTATAAAAGACTAAAAGAATTCCCACTCACTTACAAAGCTCAGTTTTATCCAATTTCAATGAAGTAAAAAAAAAAAATGTATTAAGAAGTAGTTATCTTGGTAGAAATTTAGTGAGCATTCCCAAGGATATAACATTGGAATGGAATCTAGATTTCTTTTTAAATTAGAGCAGATGGAATCTAGATTAGAAAAAAAAAAAAGAGCCGTATACAGGGTGGACAAGAAGTTCATGTGCCACTTAAAATAATTTAACATAGTAAATTGCACATGAACTTTATGTCCACCCTGTATAATTTACAGTCTATAAAATTTACCATTTTAAGTGTTCAATTCACTGGTTGTTGGTATATTCACAAATTTCTGTAACCACCATCAGTATCTGATTTAGAATATATTCTTTATCCCAAAAAGAAATCCCATGCCCATTAACAGTTACTCCCTATTCCCTCCTTGTCCCAGCCTCAGGCAATTATTGATCTCCTTTTAGTCTTTCTCAATTTGTCTATTCTGGGCATTGAATATAAATGGAGTTATATATTATGTGGCCATTTTTGTCTGGGATCTTTCATTTATCAGAATGTTTTCAAGGTTCACCCATGTTGTAGCATGTATCAAGATTTCATTGCTTTGTGGCTAAATAATATCCACTGTATAGAGGCATTTAGATCTTTTTGTAGAGTTAAAAGTTCAAGAGAAAAAGAGCTTTGGTCTGCAAGATCGAATGATGGTGAGACATTTTGGAAAATATATTCTTAGCTTTTCTCTGAAAAGTTCTAGTATCTTCTTATTACTTTTCAATTATTGTTTATCAAAGTCTCACTGGTAGATTTTACTTTAACAATTCATTCTATAGCATTGATAAACTTTGTATTCTGAATAAAGAATCAGTTTTCCAGCAGTGATTAAAGGGAGGCAGATTCAAAAAAATTTTTTCCAGAGTTTAATAATTGTGTGTCTTCAGCTTGTCATGCAGATCTACTTTACTTACAAATGAGATATTTTTTAACCTGCTCTTTATTTGTATGAGTTACATATATAATTTTTATTAAACTATTCCCCGATATGGATAAACAATTTTATTCATGTTTAGTAAACTAATTTTTATGGCACATAAGGAAATATTCAAATTTTAAGATAGAAAGCAAAAATCTACTCTAGAATTTGAGATCACATATTATATTAAGTTACACACACAGAGAAATAGACCTATTTTGAGACATATTTTTATAATCAGGAGTTTACTCACAGAGCTCTTCTCTGTCAAATGTTTGTCCACTTCCACCAAAAAGCCCCTTGAGGAAGCCTCTATTTTGAGCTTCTGGTGTCTCTATGGGAGTAAACAAATCTCCTAGCATGTCCTATATAAAATTCAAAGAAAAAACCATTACAGAAACGAAAATATAAATTAATAGACAAAAAGATAACACTGTGGTACATTAGAACACATCATTAAACAGTCTGTTTAACACGTATTTTCCTGATGACTTTTACTTTGCTGACAGTTCTCTCTCTGGCATTTATTTCTTTGTTTCCTTTTTCTTCCCTTCTCTAGTACTTAACATCCTGAAAAAAATTTCTTTTTCTTCTACTGTTTTCCCTTCCATTATTAGAAAGCATTTGAAGCTAATATATTTACTTTAGGATTATAATAATTTCCACTGTGCTCAGTAACTACCAATCTAGACTTCTGATCCTTTTTCAGTTACCACAGCTTCCCTCCTATCCCAGTCCCCTTTCCTGAACCAAACATGGTTCTTATGAGATAGGAAGTTTTCGGTGGTATGTGGCAAAAGGTTGGATCTATTTTTACATTGAGTACAAAATTATGAAATGGTTCAAGGTAATTTAAGTGAGTCAAAATAGGTAGCAACTATATAGTGAGGTACAATTGTTCTCACTATTTGAGCCTCAAAATGACTGAGATGTTTCTGTAATCCCAGCACTATAGGAAGCTAAGAGGCTAGAGCATCACTTAAGACCAGGAGTTTGAGATCATCCTGTACAACACAGCAAGACTCTATCTCTATAAAAAATAATTTAAAAAAGGAAACATGTATTTTCAGGCTGTATTCTACACACACTAAATCTGAATCTATATAGAAGTGCTCTAGTTGTCTGTATTTTTACCAGACCTTGATTTCCAGGTCTTTCTAAAGCAGACTAGAATTTAAAAATCCTCAATTTGAGGTAAGGAACTTAGACCAAAAGGCAGGATATCTGTAATTTAATATTAGTTTATCTATGAACTTCTAGTATGACTTTAACTTCATCATTTCCCCTCACCCCTATTCACTAGACCTGTGTTCTCCTGAAGCCCTTCTCTCCAGAAATGGTAGCACTATCTGTTCAGTGCTACCATGCCAGAAACCCAGAAATAACTTTAATTCCTTTCTTTCTCTCACTCCTATATCAAATAATCCTCAAATCCAAGTGATTATACTAAAGCTTTTGAATCTTCTAATTTTTCATTTTCACTACTGACTCCCTTATTTCACAAGACATTGTAATTTGAGGGCTTAATTATTTAAAAAATTTTCTAATTGTTCTTTCTACCTTCAGTCTTGCTTCTGCAAAACCAATTGCCATACCACAACTAGAATATTTGTTTTAATAAACAACTTTACTAAAACATTTCAATGACTTCCTAGTGCCCTCAAAATAAATGCTAGATCTCTTATAAAAAGGAACTTACAAGGGCTCTAAGATCTGCACTTAGCTAATTCTCCAGCACCATACCTCCATTCTTTTTTCTTCCTGATTCTGCATTTGCTTGGTATTTTCCTTCATCCTAAAGCTTTCACATGTCTCTCTAGGCTATCTTTACTTTTTTCATCCCCAGTCTTCCATTCACTGGGATAACTACCAGCTGGCCTTCAGAAGTCAGTTGTGCCCATAATTCTCCTCTAACAATCCCCTCCTGCTCATCAACCCAGATTCCTTTATTATATATATATCTCCTCAACACTGGTACAGCCATATATAGTAGTTTCCATAGAGTACTATAGTGGTCTGTTTACTGATCTCTCTCCACACTAGCAGACAGGGACTTGCATCTTATTTATTATTGTGTTTCTAGAGTCTGGCTAAGGGCCAGACATATAATAAAAACTCAATAAATTTTTGTGGAAAATAATATTATTTATTTTAAAAACTTCCTATAATCTAGGCACTGTGCTCAGTGCTTTATATGAATTTCTTACTCAATTCTGACAGGGTAGAGTATGTAGGTAAATAAAATACCCAAAGTCACACAAATGGGGGAGCCAAAATGCAACTTGAATAGTTGAGAGCTTATATTCTTAAACTTTATAAGGAATGGGTTTTAGTTTTCTTATTTGTAGAATGAGGGTGTTGAAACAGTTAAATCTCTAAGATAAATTTTTATAAGAATGTGACTATTCTTAATTATCAGAGGTTGATAGATTTTTATATTTATCCTGTTTCTAGCCTATGCTTACTGCTACTATGAAAAACAAATGCCCAGTTCTAACCTATAGGACATGTATTTGTTTTGTGTGGCCTTTAATCAAAGTTAAGCTTTGTTCAGAGAAGTCCATGAACTCCCTGAACTGTATCCAAAATGTTGTGTGTACATATATATTTCTCACCTGGGGGGAGAGTTTATGATCTTTCAGAAGATTCTCCATGGGTGAAAACAGACAATAAAATAAACAAAAAGATTAACTATTAATGTGAATGATCTTCGCATTTTTCCCTCTTATTTTTTTGCATACCTAGAACTATACTAAAAGTTGGTATGATCATAATGAATTATATATATTCAAAACATATTCTAGGAAGGTTGTATTTATCGTCTGACCTAATAATATTTCAGCTTTTAGACATCTCTCTTATTCTTTCTTTTAACAACCGTGTTTAATGGAAATGTACCTCCTGACCTACCTGTAGATTATCACACATTTCTTGGCTGTATGTTAACCGCTGAATTTCAGTAGGAGAGACGAGGTATAATGCCTGTCCTTCATTAGTAAAACAAAACGTTCGTGCTATCCTCATGTCTGTCAGTGGCAAATAATTAACATCCAACATTGGGCGAAGACTAGGTAGGCTGAATGGAAAAAAGGAAAGCCACATTCAAGTTGTTAGAAGCAGATCCTTATATTAAAATAGTAATTCTAATCCCATCTCATTTTGGTTGTTTCTTTTATCCTCGTGAAGGTTCAGTGGTAATATACTAGGATTCCACATAAAATCATATATACAAAAAAATGATGGGCAAAGTTCTTCTATCATAATCTATGAAGAAGTTTAACAAATGTCTTTAAAGATTAAATTGCCAGCAATTTCAGGGGAAGTTTTTGTAGCATTTCACATGTACCTACAATATGATTATAGCCTTTGGTTTTGTCAGAAATGTCATAGGGAGAAAGCATCTGAGTGTACACTTGGTCTATCATCTGACTTTAAGGCAGAACTCCTAAGTCTGAGGATATCACGAACTGACAGATATGGAATGGGTCCACTTTATTGTACTCAGCTATTGAGTAGGGCTTTGATACCCACTCCTTCACTTACTCTATACAAAGGAAATGAAAATTACCTATAACTTAGGGCAACTGCAGTAAAGGCATGATTAATAAACAGACATAGCCAAGGCTGCAAGGGAATGAGAATAAGCTATAAATAATAGATCAGAATTTTCACATCCAGCCAGATGCAATGGTTCAACACTTGTAATCCTAGCTCTCTGGGAGGCCGAGGCCTGGGCTCACAGGTTCAAGACCAGCCTGAGCAAAAGTGACACCCCATCTCTAAAAGTAGCCAGGTGGTGTGGTGGGTGCCTGTAGTCCCAGCTACTCTGGAGGCTGAGGCAAGAAAATCACTTGAGCCCAAGAGTTTGAGTTTGCTGTGAGCTAATGAGGCTACAGCACTCAATCGGGGGCAACAAAGTGAGACTGTCTCAAAAAAGAATTTGCACATCCAAATAAATACCACACATCTGAACTGTCTTACCCCTATATGCTTATTCTAATGTTATAAATAATAATTTTGCTAAAATATTTATCAGAATGTCTCTTCAGATACCATCATTAGAACCAGTTTTTCAGACCCCTGAATAAAACCAGTCTCATTGCTTTTTATTACACCTCTAATGCCAAAAGGAAAAAAATACAAACTTGTAATAAATCTCAAGTTTTAAAATCATTCTACTGATTCTAAGTGTGCACAGTGATTTCAAATTATCCTAGATCATAAAACCAGTGCCTTAAGAAAAAAGTACTGATTTCTCTGATCAAAGTATTTCAAAGTATTTCAAGCCCTAAACTTTACCATATAACATTTTCTTGACGTTCTAACACTGTGCCATGCAATATTGGGAGCCACTAACCACATGTGGAGGCTTATGTATGGCTAGTCTGAATTGAGATGTACTATATGTGTAAATCACACACTGGATTCTAAAGACTTGGTATGAACAACAGATTATTTAATTCATATGTATCTTAAAAAGTTATAAAATCGAAGGGGGAAAAATAAAAAGAAAAAGATACAAAAAATTATCTGTTATAGTACTTCAGGTAAGTACACTCCTTAAGATGAGTCTAAAACCCAGTACAGACTTCTATGATAGATTTAGTCAAATTAATGGGTAGGGTTGAGGAAGAGGTTTCTACTGACTTTTCTGATGGGTTATATTGTCTCTGTTGCATAATAAAAGTAATTCAAGAAAAGGAAAAAGGTGCAATCACTGAAGGTAGGAAAAGAAAAAGAATAAGTAAATTTTAAGTGCTAAGAAACAATTGATTTTAACATTGAAAAAAAGAAAATTTCCTTTTAGGCAAGACACTTCAATAAAGTCCAGTTAGGTAACTAAAGGTGATTCTTACAAAAAAATGGCTATAATAGACCAGTTTGAGATTTTACATATAGATAAGGCTCTTGTATCTCTTTCTATTTTTATACTTGCCTTTCTAGGTCAGGATACTTAGGATCTAAGCAATTGTTAGGTACCTGCTATCTCTTGTAAACCTAGAACTTGAGAAGACTGGGCTCCTGATAGTTGGTTGCATTCTGATAGGGTATGGAAAGACCCTGAAAACATACCCAGCTTGGGAAAATCAACATGCCCTGGGACATGCTAAATTGTAGGATTCCTTTCTTTAAGACACACAGCAGAGTACATGTAATTATCTCCTACCCACATTTTAATATATGTATTACTAAAACCATGTCCAAATTATTTCCTTTTAAAATATTTTTGAGGATCCTCAGGAATACAGGAGGAGCTTCTACTATGACATAATACCAAAGTAGCTTTTTTTTTTTTTTT